AGAATTTTTATTTCTTTTCTAGTTCTCAAAATTTAATCCACATAATGGTGTAGAGAAACATAGTTACAGAATGCATGTTCATTTTCCTTCTGAGGAATTCTTTCACACATCTCTAGAAGTAGCCCAAGGGCAGTTAGTAATTCTGCAACATTGTCTAATCAACAGTTTTAAAGACTTTCAGCCTTCCCTATTTTGTCTTGCTTACTTTGGACATGTCATCAGGAAAGACCAGTCAAGGAAATGGACTTATGTTTGGTAGGAAAAAAGATCGATGAACACATTGAAAACCCTCAATGAGTTGGACTGACCCAATGGGCTCAAACATTTCATGGGATCATGAAGAAGGCAGGACCCAGCAACACTTCTCTCAACTCTATTAAGCCTACGGTCACTGGGAGGTAAAGCAAATTTCATAGCTGTAATACCACTACCACAAATAAAACAAAATTCTGCATTCAAAGAATTACCAATTTTCACTTACCTTTAATTTGCTGGTCTGACTGCTCTCTCAGCTTCATTAATTCTAGGTAGAGGTCATTATTTTCCCTGCATAATCTTGCATTTTCAACTTTATAGGGTTCCAAAACAAAATCAAAATTGGCACTTTCTTTCTCGGCTTTCACAGCAGATAATTTTGACTTCCGAAGGCTCTCTGTTGTATGAACTAGGTCACTAAAATGAAAGGACAGAGAATGTAAATACAAGAAATCATTACATTTACTTTTAACTAAAACTAGATTTCTAAGCAAGAGTTAAAATGTTACTGATAAATGAGTTCAAATTTTAAAAGGATTTTTTAAAAAAAAATACTGTTTTCTCCATATCGCAGAATGTCTCAAGAGTAAGAATCAGTCTTTCGCCTCCAGAAACCTAATAAGGTCCTCATCATGGAGCTTTTCTTCTTCTGATAGTTTATTAAAGTTATTTCAGTGCATTCTCTGTCACTGTTTTAAGTATAGCAGTGCCAAAGTCAAAGTCTAGGCCTCACTGAATTACATTATAAAGGGAAAACAAAAGCAAGTTTCCAGTAATAACAAATATGAAGCAACATGCAAGTGATATTACAGAATCATAAAGGAGATATAAACTCAGAAGCTAAGTAGGCACAAGGCAAAGGAAGAATGAAAAATAATTTTCTTTAAAAAAATGACTTATCAGTAGTGTTACACTTTTATTACTAACTTTACAAGGAGATTTATTATCAGCATCAATAGCTCAAACTTGATTCCTATGACACAGAGTTAAAAGATGCTTTCACCCTCCAACACTGGGTTTTTTTAAAAAAAAACAAAAAAAACCAAACAAACCAATTCTCACACCAATTATTTCTCCTATAATTCCCTTTACTTTTCTGCTGGAATCAATTTGTTACAATGGGCACACAGAACTCACTGACAATATCCAAGAGCATAGGGTTTATTAGCGAATGAATAGGTTACGATACAAGACAAAGAACAACTCAGGACACATTTCTTCAGCTAGCACAGCTTTGTGGCCATACTGATAGGCATATCTCTCCTTGACCCTTGTCCCCTTGACTGGCACACTAGGCCAGCCTGGGTTCTATTCTGCTTAGGCAAGTGTAACAGAGCTTTTTAATTACACTGATAAGTACCCTCACACACCCTATGCCACTTAATCTTGACACACATCTTTTTAGTACTATAGCTTTGAGGGCTGAGAAGCTATTTTCTGATTCTGCTGTCTCTATCAGTTAAGGTAACTAGTAACAGCAAAAGTATCAAGCAACATATTAGAAAACCATTATTAAAAATAACTAAAGTGCAGTGAAGCAAACTTAAGGGAAGAATGTGTATACCAGAAAAAAAATATAAAAACTTAAAAGTCTACTTATAGGAAAAACACTCAAGGTTTACTCTTAAAGAATGGTGACCCAAAGTGGTTGTGATGAAGTTCAGAATTCTTGGGACTACTTGCAAGACACTTTAAAATTATCTTTTATGTTAAAAAAGGTCTGAAACTTTGGGATTCCAGTGATATTTACAAGATGGAGTAATTTTTATGTAAGACTCTCTAAATTTCATTTTAAGTTCTCAATTAAAAACAATCTGCCACACACAAAACAATGGTGACCCTTATGAGTTTTGGGATGTGGAGGTTTTGAACTGATGACAGGGAAGCAGGACCAAAGGACAAACAGATGAGCTTCAGGTGATTTAAGAACTTTTCAAAATATAACCATTTCTTTACTAAGGAATGAAGTTGAATTAGAAACTAGATAAAGATTAGGAAACATACAAATGGAAAACTCTATTTTCATCTTTACCTGAAAAGTTTTTCCACCAAAGGTAAGCACTCCACAGTCAGAGTCTGGCGGTAGCCCAACTGATCCAGTCTTTTCCTAATATTCACATACTTCCTTTCTGCAGCAGTAGTCATCTTGTCTTTCAAACCAGTTCTGGTCACTTTTGAAAATTAAAGTCCTAAAAGATATGGAACAGTATTACATCATCTTCATACCTATAACTTCTGTTCACAGTAAGAAGAAAAGACAATTTGAGCAACTTTTTTTCCATTAACAACCATTATTTAAAAATATATTTTGATCTGTAAATTTTCATTGACATTAATAATAAATTTAAAGAAAAAGAAATATATTTTGATAAATAGATAACTAGTCTTTAAGTCTTCTTGCTCAAATTTAAAATTTATTTTTGTGTGTTCCATACTATTCTTCACTCATTGTGTCTCATACATCATGTATTATGTTTTATAAAATTAATCATCATTGGACTATGCCCATCTCTTCATGTGCCCTGTCTCTTCATGTGTCCACTAGATCTTTCTCATTTCCTTTACCCCCTCCATCCACCCATCAAATTGTGCAACCTGTGGTTTTGCCCCTACCCATCCTCACCCCTCTACTCCCACCCCGACCTCTTTTGGATCACCATACATGTTTTACTAGTTATATTTCTATTTTTACAATAACGATCTTATTAGTTCATTCAGCATATGCTTTCCAGACTCTCCCAAGTTATATAGTATTTTTTTTTACATTGTTGCTCCTGAGTGCTGCATAGTATTCCATTATGTAAATGTACCACAATTTCTCAAAAGATTCAGTTGTGGTTGGACATTTGGGCTGTTTCCATATTCTTATGATGGTGAATAATAGTGCTATGAATGTTGGTGTGCAAGTCTCCTTTTGGTTCTAAGTTCTCATATCCTAAGGGTATAGGTCCTAGTCATTAAATCACTGGGTCATACAGAGTTTCAATTTTCTACTCTTGAGGAAATGCTATTTTTTTTTTGGTCTATTTCTCTTTAGTATAGCTTCCTGGAATATTTAAATTTATTAATAGAGTGTTTTAAATCCAGTGTTTATCATATGCATACAGTTGAATTAAATCAAGTATCTTGAGGCAGCAGCCTCAAGTGTGTTGAGAATGATAAGGACATGGCAAGACAGAGTTCAGATCGGATGTTCATAGAGTCTCTATGAGTCATACTCAACAACAACAAAATTAAAACAATAATGCTTTTAGGAGAAAAGAGAAGAATGTTTTCCCAAGTCTGAGATAATCAGAGAATTTTGCCAGGAATCTCTCTTAAAAGCATGAAAAAGATGTTATAAAAAAGAAAACCGTAATACAGTTTTTTAAAAACAGAAAAGCCCAAGACAAGGAAAAACAGGAATGTAACAAAATTAAAAACATCTGCTCATCAAAATAGTTCATTAAGAAAATGGAAAATACACTACAGAGGGGGATAAAATGTTCACAAGATCTGATAAATAACTTCTATATGGGAATATAGAAGTAATTATTATTATTAGGTTGATGCTTTATGGGTTCCAACTCATAGTAATTTTTATATTACAGAAATCTTGGCTTATCTTGAGCCAATGGTAAGAGCATTGTTATGTTTAAGCCCATAACTGCAGTTACTGTGTCAACCTAAAAGAACTCTTTAAACTTGACAATAAAACATACAACTCAGTAAGAAAAGTGAGTTACAAGACTTGAATGGGTATTTGGCAATAGGGATTTGAAGAGAATTACACATGAATTGCACAGGGAGTTTTGGTGGCTTAGTAAAGCAGCTGCACTGCCAACTCAAAGGCATGTGGTTCAAATCCATCAGTTGATCCAAGGGAGAAAGATGGGCAATCAACTCCTGTGGAATTTTACTGCCTCTGAAAATCTGCTAGAGGGTTAGCTATTGGTTGGTTCCAACTCAACAAAAACATATGAAAAGGTGTTTAACACTATCACTTATCAAGGACATGGAAGTTAAAACCACACCAGGATGTAATTTCAGCCCTGACATAATAGCTGAAATGAAAAACTGACAACAAAAATTTTATTAAGATTGTGGAACAAACCAACATTTACACAGTGTTTAAAGAGTGTAGAAAAAACACTCGGCACCAGCAGTCAGGAAATCAAAAGATGAATTACATT